ATGCTTTTGGCTGAAGCACCTATTCCTAGAGCAGCTACGCCCTTCCAGCCTAATGATGGGCCATTAACACCCCATGGCTTGCATACCCTGCCTTAAAGGTCCTCACAGCTGGACCTCCTCAGTCCCAGCAACTGCCTCCATCCTCCCACTCAGTGCATTCAGGAGCCAAGCTCTCCACATGCCTGTTCCCCTGCAAAGTCAGAAAGGGACCACTGTTCAACAACCCATGGACCAGGCATGTAGCTTTAAGCTACAGCCAAAAATCTGAGTGGGAGGAACACCTGCAGCTGAACAGAAATATGTCAGCAAAAGTGTTCAAACAACAAATTTTTATTCCCTGAGCGGGCAAACATAACCCATAAGTTGTAAGATGATGAAGAGGGAGAGAGGTTTGGGGGGGGTGTAAGTGAATAGGAAATAGAATAGGGATCAGGATAGCAAATTTGCCCACCTCTCTGATATTCCTTGGTAAGATAGCTTGGTCCACTAAGGACTAAAACCCTCAAAATGCCAGTGTAGCAATTCTTACACACCAGGATTGTTGAGAGGGCTAGAAAGGCCCCAGCAGATGCCCTGCTGTGCAAATCCTGCTGACATGCCTTACTTCCCTGGGCCTATTTGGAAGCATAAGGGCTGTTTCTGAGTACAGAGGATAAAGTGAGCCCCCACCTGGACTACTGTGAACCATTCAGGTCTTCCCAACAAAAGATGGACATGGAACTGTTGGAGCAATTCCAGAGGAGGGCCATGAAGTTGATAAGGGGACTGGACCATTTTTATTCCTAAGACAAGCTAAGAAAACTGGGTCTGCTCAGATTGGAGAAGATTGCATGGAGGCCTCACAGCAACATTCTGGTATCCTAAGTGGGACTCTCTGACTGGGAAGTCAGAGAGAGAGACTCTTTGTATTGGTAAGACAAAGAGTAATGGGTACAAACTGAAAGAGGGGAAATTTTACTTAGATATTTGGAAGAAATTCTTTTCTATGAGGATGGTTAGCCTCTGGAACAGGTTGCCTGGGGAGGAGATGGCTGCCCCAACCCTGGCAGTGTTCCAAGCCAGGTTGGATGACGCATTGACCGCCTGGTCTAGTGGGAGATATCCCTGCCCATGGCAGTGAGGTTTGGGACTGGAGGATCTTTAGGGGCCATTCCTACCCCTTAACGTTCTATGATCTGATCCCATTTCAGGATTCAGCTGATGTTTCTTCTCTGGTGTCTCCTGCAGCTGGCCAACACGTAGTGGCCAAGGGAGCAGGATTTTGGAGGAAGACCAAAAGTGTCATAGAGGCTACTGTTTACACAATTACTCCAGCCCTTCCTGTTCTCAAGGAATCACCAATTCTCTCAGGCCCAGTAGCTGTTGTACAACCAGCCACAAGGATTCTACTGGGGAATCCTCCTGTGGGAGGAATGTTTGAACCTCTCCCAGTGCAGGCTGACAGATGTCATGTCTTTGGAGGCTTAGGGGACCTCCTGAATGTTCATCTGAGAAACTTCCTCTTGACACTAGGGAAAACAGTATGTTAAAATGTGATGGAGGAAGAAAGAGAATAATTAAAAGAGTGAATACAGGGACAAAAATATCAAGGTCAGGTGAAAAAAGATGGGATATTGAGGCAGCAGAAAGGTTGGATAGATGAAGTCCAATTGTACAGTCTTGAGAGTTAGTGTGCAATAGCCACATAAAGGCATGGACAAATTTTGTCATTTTATATTGTATGAGAATTGATCCAGGGTTTTAGATATCAACAGTACCAGGATATTGTGTTATTGTTTGTTTCTTTGGTACAGCCTGGAAGACTTCACAAAAATGCATTCACCTCATCAGCAGTTGTGCTGCACTGGTAGGTTGGCTTCACAATCTGAACTGATACCTGGTAAGCAAAGTTAAGTGGGGTATTTGCTTTAAATGCCAGAACAGAACTCTAATTTAGATTCATACGTGTTACTCCTTTGTCTGTCTACAAGGCCTGTTGGTTGACCTATTTTACTACCAGTTTTTGTCTGCTTTTCCAGGTGGATGTTGCTTAGTATATTGAAACTTACTCTTACATTTTTTAAGAGGCAAGGATGGAAGGAAACAGAATATCTTATCGGATTGGTTAATGAAAAATATCTATGCTTATATTATGTCATTATTGGAGTTGGTACTTCATTCTTTGCCTCAGTTTATTGTTTCAAAATTCAAACTAGCTGTCTTTGACTACTATATAATACTAAGCTGTGAATTTCAGATATTTATTTTAATGAAGCTATTTTTCATCAGCACCTTTGTAAGGGTTATATGTCTATTTTGCTTATCTCTGTAACAATCAATGAGATTGTTTCTGGTCATTTTATTTTTCATTTGATTTTGTCTTCTAAGGCCAAGTCAGTAATTCTTTTATTTTCACTATTCAGGTGTCTGCAGTTCACATTTTCATCTGAGATAACCTTTAAAATAGTCAATATTTTTCCTTAGTAAATTTATTTTTTTTTATTCAGAATAATGAAGATTAACTACCAGATTCTCTCAATGACAATGCTGTCAGTTTTCTAATCTTTAATTTTTCTATTTAACTACCCTTTAATGTTTGCCAGCAAATTATACTAATGGTTTAGAGGTTTCTTCAGCTAGTTAATGTAAGACTCTTGAACCTAAGATATCTGAGTTTGTAAATGTTTAGTTGTCACAAAGACTGTCACGTCCTCCTTTGTGTTATGTATGGCTAATTATTTGATCTATCAGTAATGCATTCAGAAGTAGCTACAGAGCTCGTTTCCTTCCAACTTCCACTGAAATATCTACTGGATGTTTCTGCTTTTTGTTGATCCTACTTCACTATCCCACTGTCTGAACCTAGCTGTTCACTTAAAATTAATTCACTGAGTTTATTCTTTCTGGAATAATTTTAATTGCGTTATTATTTAAAATTTGTTGATTCAGTAAAATTCATTCGAGTTACTAATCTCATTACCCATTTACTTCTATTTGTTTTTTTTATAGTAATTTCATTGGTTTTTTTAATTCCCTCTCCATGTATACATACACATACATACATGTACTATATGCTTGTTTATGTATATAGGTGTAAATACAAAATTTATGTGATTGCTTTCACCAAGAAGAACTTCTTCACTCAAGTGTATTTTTTTGATCCTGAGGGATCTTGGCTTCTTGGGCATCCAGCAAGGTACTCCTGAAAAATTTCCGGTTGTTTTAACACTTCTTCATTTAAATGGATTTTCCCAACTCTAAATTCAACTCTTCCTCTCAGTTTCAAAAACCTGCAGGTTTGAAAAGATCCAGCAGGAGATATTTCAGGTTGGTGACATATCCTGTTTGCATTAAATAAATCAAACCTCATTTCATTGGGCAATTTTTCAATTTTACAATTTTTGTAAAAGCCATTAACTGTTCCTTATTTATCATAATGAGGTCCATTATGGTGAGTAATTGATAATGGACATTACTGAGTTACTTGATATCCCATGCAGGATTTCTGTGCTAAGAAAAAAAAAATCCATTACTTCTAGAAATTTCTGAAGTCTACACTGGCTGTGTAGACTGAGAAAATGATCTCCAGGATGAAAGTCACTTTAGGTAACAGAATTTTCTTTTCTGCTTTTAACAACCAGATTTTTTGAGGGGAAGCTCCTCGACTTTTGTGAAATGTGGTGGTCCATTTAAGAGACCTTCTAGTTTGATTTTGTTTGTTTAGCTAATTAGTATTTTAACCACAAATGCTGTGGAGCCCGCTCAGTCATCTATGACTTTCTAATCATATAGCAGGATATTGGATGCAAAATATCACTACCACCTTATCTGATTTTCCACTGTAGCTTTTATGGAACACATTAGACTTGAAATACAATCCTCCAAAACCCATTGGACTTACCCCATCAGTTTTCTCTATTATTAATCACATAATTTCTTTTCTCTTACGTGACCATTTCCAACTACCCTTATTGACTCTCCAGGCTCCACACGATAATACTCATATTACCTCTGAGCATACTTACTTGCTTTTAGTTTTGTCATAAAAAATGATGTTTTTATTTGGCCTATGTGCTTGGATATGTATGTCTCGTTCTGTCATCATGATTCTCTCCTTTCATGTAGTTTGAGTAGATTAAGTCTTCCTGACTACTTCATCTGTCAACCAGAGCACTGGTACATATTTTGTTGAAATTAAAGCCATAATACCATGCAATCTTTTATTTATATAGAGGTTACCCTGCTGTTTTATTGAACCAAAATCTTCTCTTACTCCACCTACCACCCCTACTATTGAACTCCATTATCTTCTGCCTGTTTTTTAATTTTACTTGAAACAAATGAGTTTAAGGTTTTTAAAGCATCAGCTGGGGTAGCTTTTTTTTCTCCTTTTCTCAGCTGCCTGGCTGATTAATGTTTTTAGTGGCTGAAAATCACCTGAAATAAATAAATAATCCTGTCTTCAAAGCTTTTTAATTGCCTTTAGTGCTTCCTGTCGGATGGGAGAAATTGTACTGTTGTTTGTTGTGTATTGTGGAATACATCTTAGGCACATGCCCAAGATCTTTCTGGGGCACTTTTGTGTACTCTGGTTTGAGCCAAACATCAGCTCTCTTAATTTCCCTCTGCTAAATGAATAGATTTGTTCTCACAGGCAGTTCTTTTCTGATGCCTCACACACAATCAGGTAGTTATTTGTACCTGGGAAACTGGGAGATCTGCTGTCATACTGACTGAGCTGATCCACTGGGGAATCCCACATATGCACAGTATATGAACTTCAGTATCACAGATTTCTTCCCAATTTTGGCTACCAGAGTGAACCTCATATAGAGGTGAAATCATTTCTATTCACAAGGAAGGATACAGATAATACTAGATTTGGTGTTGGACAAAGTAAATGATGACTATTCATCTTTGTTGCTATAGTAAAACCACATGTATACAGCAAAACTTATAAACATTGCTCTGCAAATTCTGATGGAACCTCTGCTGCTAACTCCTCTATTTATATTTTACAGTGTCTGTATTAGCTAGCTGTTATTGTTCAAGTCAATCCCATCCTGTGTCAAGAATTGTCAGCAAAGTTCAAACTCCAGAGGAAGAGCACACACCTCAGGCAGTATGCGAGAAAAGCAACGCTGCGTTCCTGTAATTGTTCGTGAAACTTCCAAACAGGAGGGTTTGACTGGGCCGTATATCCAGCTCTTTCCTCTCACAATGATCTACTGCTCGAACTCCCCCTTTGGTCTCTCCCTGTTTGTCGCCCTGGCTGCTCTATGGCTTGGTTCTACTTGTTGTGGAAGCATTTTGAAATCATTACGCCTTTGTTTTCTGAGAAGCAAGATTTATAGGGAAGGTAATATCCTTTATTAGACTGTTTGGTTCATTTGGAAAAAATGGGCATTCTTGTGGGGTCAGAGTCCCTTCATTACACTTGTTTTCTGCCTGCTTGGTTTTTCCATGTCTGAAAGCACTGCTTAGAGAAAGCAGACCTGCTCATTTTGTTCTTTTTGGTTGCTACATTTTCTTCCAGAGTAATAGAGAGAACACATGTACTTGTGTTATTTTGTGGAGAATTGTGTTCTTTTGCGGAGACTTGTGTGCTTGTTTTTCCAAAATCCAAAATAAAAATAATAAAACCAATTTTAGGCCAAACATCTGTATTTTGGCCCTGGTGTATGGAAACCTCACTGCCTCCAGGTTTTTTGGAAAAAGTCCTGGACTGATATGATCAACTTCTCTTTCTCTTAGAGGAAAAATAAAAATCTGCTTTACCAGTTATATAAGAGGCAGAGAAAAACCCTATGGAGAATAGCAAGATATATGTATTGATTTAAAAATGACAAATAGAAACATTCCAAATATTTGCAAATTATTTCTTCTGCTGCTTACACCCCAACTAATGGAAAAACAATCTGTATTGAGTCAGAGACTGTAGGTTTTGAATGTTTTTAAGGTCTAATGCAGTCCTGAATTCCAGACCCATGCAACTTCTCAGCTATCTAGCAGAGTTTACATAAGTTTTAACTGATTTGAATGCCAATATATTTTTGCTTGACAGCATAGCCTCTACATAGTGGGCAAAGAGTTCTTACACTCTTCTAGTAATTCCATTCTATGCTTTTCTCACTCTGCTTCTCCCTGAAATGACCGTGACCTTCGGCCAGATTTTCTTGAAGGTTATGCTAATCTTTGTTGGCAAGAGAAACAGTAGCTGGAGCAAAAAAAGTGAAAGAGAATGCCACATGAGAATGAACAGCATGCAGAGAGTGAGAAGTTTCTGCAATAACTGGAACTGGAGCAGCCTTGTCAGCATGCAGTCCCTGGAGCAGTAAGAGGGGATGTACACACTGGAATGTTCAAGAATGAAATCTTAATTAATATTCAGGTACTCAGAAAGGCATTTGGGATAAATCTTTTGCTAAGGCAAGTGGGTGCCCCTCAGGTACTTTCCATGAAGTTTTGTGTAGCTCACACAGCCCCTCATTTGGCCCCAAAACTAATTTCTTTCATGTTTAGTGAATTGCAATTTGTGCAAATGAATTAGTTTTTCTCCCCGAGAGTTTGGTGTACAGCCTTTCACACATAAAGGGCAGTTGTGTTTTTGTGCAAGGTCAAACGAACTTCCCACAATATTTTCTGACGTGATATCAAATAAGGACATCTTAAAACATGGTCAAAATTAAACTGCCTCGTGTTAGATTTGTGCAGATTGGTATATTTAACAACATGGAAATATTCTTGTGGAGTGGAGGGAAAGGGTTAATGCCAGTCTTTTTAAGGAGCTGGAATTGCTGTTGCTTCCTAGAAGATCCCAAGCGTTGCAGTTTAAGCCACTTCAGGCTCTTGAACATTGCAACATCTGTAGCATGGTTCAGGGCCAAAATGCAAACAGTTATGTCACATCTACTTTACAAGACGGAACGTGGTTTAACCAAGTTGAGGGGCAAGCATGCTGCAAGGAGGCCCCACAATATGTTTGTTTTTGTAGAACAGATGAACCCTAAATTAGTACCAGATGTCAGTACTAGGTCTGCTGTGTGGGGAACACAGCAGGGAACAAGCAATTATGGTGGAGCCACTGTGAGGCCATATTTAAGGTTGCATTCTGTTTTACGTTGACAGGGAGAACTCAGTCTTTTTATATTGTACTAAAACACCCTCTTGCTCCATTCAGCATTGGCCCATGTGTATATCTACTGGGGGATGATAAAGAGCCTCAAACCAGGTTACTATCTGCCTTTGGATTGCCTAACCAGCATATGCATGTCCTATTTCTGTTTGTGCTCTGCTCTGAGATTGTGAAGAGTGGTGCAAGCTTCCTCTTTCTTGGTTTGCTTCAACTGCCTTTGGCTTCGGATGTAGCTCTGCTCTCATCACAGGCTGCAATGTTTTTGGCCTTGTGATCATTTTTCTGTCATTTTGCTTGTTAGTTTGTTCATTGGTTACTTAGCAATTTTCTTTGTTTTCCTAGACTTTTTTTGTTGCCAAGAACTTTCCTCTTGGCAAACATGGAAAAGAGGAGATTTTCAGTTTGAGTTAAGCCATGTGGCTTCCGATAGCCGTTTAGTTCCCTGCCTCAGAACAGTTTTGTCCCCTATCCCACATGGCTTTTTTGTGACAAGGTCTTCTTGCTTGCATTTCCCATTACATGTGTTGAGGGCATGTGTCAGGAAGAATCTTTATTGTCAGTAAAATAATTGCTTCCAGAAAGAATTCTTTATTCTGGAGATTCCTCTAACTCCAGGTCTGTCACTTACTCAGATAAAAGAAAAGATCTTCAATATCATCTCTTGAACTTAATTGGGAATCTCTGAGGATTTCTTCAGACACCAGCAGGGCAATTCAGAGGACAAGGACTCCATGTTTGGAAGGCCTTTTTTTCTCATTAATGTCTGAGTAGTTTTCCTTTGGTGCAATAGAGTGCATAGGGAGTTCAAGGAAGAAAATTTAATCCAAAGTCTTCAAATAAATGTCTCATGTTTTTTCCTTGCTTTTTAACTTCCATTATTTAGTGATCCCACAGGCTCCAACTGTAGAAGTATACTGTAAAGGGCTGTGATTTAGAATTTGGCTACCAATCTCTTACAATGCACAGTGTCTAGCTGATAGCACACACCTTGGCACAGTTTGCATGACAACCTGCATCCTCCAAAGTAGCACTCACTCATGGCTGAGGTTATAGTAAAGGCCAGGGGGTGTTTGTAAAAAAACAATATGGATAAAACAACTTGGTTTGGGGTAGCTGTAGTGCATGGCTATGAGGGCACAAGTTTGCTCTCAAGAGCGTGCCATTCCTTCTAAAGAACAGAAAATAGACCCTAGGATGTTTTATTTGCTTGGTCCTGAAGAGGTTCAGATGTATGTTTCTAAGAATAACTCAGTGTTGAGCTTCTGTGATGACACAAAATCATCAAGAACAGTAGGAAGTTTTTGGTGTTCATCTACAGAAGTAAAAATTGTATCTTCTGAGAGCTGTAGATCTGACTGTATAGACCCTTTTGCTCACTCCATGACATCACAGACACCTATTGCCATTCAGAGAAAGATTTCTACACAGTTTTGCCCACTGGAAAATATTCTTCTAGTAACACATACTCCTTTTACAGGATCATAAAAACTCCTTCTTTTGATAGAAACTATTATGATAGAAACTAAAATTTTATTTCTCTCTTCACTGTTCTCACCATAACCAAAGAGACTTTTAGGCTGTTGTCCCTACACACTGTGTGTGTTCATTAGCACTAGGACCTCCCTTACTACCATTTAGCTTCCTGGTTTATGACTTCTCCTTGAACACACTCCTTAAGTGAGAAACAAGTCTTATGGGATTCACAACCACATAATTAAGTCTGAATCCTCAGCCCCTCAGAACAGATAAAAGGTGCTTTTCTCATTTGAGAGTCTCAGAAGAAAGAAACTCATCATCAGTCTCCTGGAGTCAGAGTCTACTCTTACAGACACCTACAGGTTTTATTAGCCTAATCTTTTCCACAATCAGGCAAACTCAGTGGCACCTGTCGGGGGTCTGGGTTGTGAACACAACCTTGCAACCTGTTACCCATTTTCTTCAAATGGTTCAAATGAACCTGGAGTTTAAGTTTATTTGAAGATAAAAGTGCCACCTAATGAACTACAGCGCCCTGAATTGACTATCTGCATCTCCTCTAGATGAGTCTGTAGTCTCTCCTGATACTTAGGAAATTATTTAAAGTTGTTCCAAAAAGTCATAAGGTGGTCCAGGATTTTGTGATCATCGTGGAGGAGTGAAAGGTTGTATTCCCTTTTAGACTCAGTCTGGTTTTACAATCAAATGTTATATGCCTGTGAAGATTTACACCTCTTTAATCCATGAATAAAAACTTAGTGGGATGAAGATGTTAAAAAAATTGAATGATTGGCTCAAAAAATTAACTGAGTGAATTGATTCAAAATTTTCTTTAGTATGTTATTGCATACTTCAGAACTGAATACTTTTCAGTCCCCTCGGCCTTAACATCTCAAAAAGTAAAAGGTATGTATGGAATGAAAGTTTGATAGATTTACTGGAGTTAAAGCATATTTTTTCTTTCTGTTAGTCAACCAAGTTTTATTTTTTCAGTGGCAACTTTACGTATATTAAAGTAAGCTAATGATAAAAACATTCTGCTCAAATTCTGTCCTTTATTTCAAGGGACAAAAACGCAGTAATACATTGCTTTATTTGATATGCTATTTATAGGGATAAAACCCATATTTTGCCTGGTTGGAGAAAAAAAGCAGTAAAGGAGTTCTTAAGTTATGCAAAAAAATACATTGGTTGTTGAACATTAAAATAATTTTAATGTTTAGGTGAGGCAATTCTAACTATATGCCAGCAGGCAAATCACCACGATTGTGGGGACAAAGTACTGATGAATTTTGAGGAAGGCAGCCCTGAAGAATCCAAATTTTCCATGCTATTGGGGAGACATGCTGCTGTCTGTGGAAAAAAGCTGCTAATGGCTTTGCCTTTCCATGTTTTTTTTGCTCTGTTTTGTGTTAAATGTGTTACACAAGTAACTGGTAGCACCCTTACATGTGGTATTGTGGGACATCAGTCTGAGGGGGCTATGGAAAAAGATGCTGCCTCAGAAGAGGAACAGGTTCACCTTTAACATAAGAGATGCAATTTTCTGTGAAAATTCTGCAGATTTTCAGTGAATGAACCATCTCACCCGTGACTACTCTGAAAATAAGACATCTCTGTCAAGATTTGAAGGATCAAGTTCTGGATCCCCATTTTTCTAAGAGCTCTTTTAGCATACAAAGAAGGTGGAGAAATGTCTGTTTCCTCCTGCAGGTAATCATGCCAAGCATGCCAGAGCCCAGACTGCGTTAGAGGTATTGTGCAAGGAGCTTGCCAAATGCAGACTTCATGGAATACTTGTTGTTAGGTTAAAGGAAGGCTTTTTCAGGGTAAAAGAAAAGCACTCATAACACTAATGCTGATGAAATCTATCGTGTGACTCGCCCTGAGCAAATGCTTCCCAGCCAAGGGATTGAAGAATGCAATTTCTGATACTTCTACTAATTAAATGAGGGGTAAGGTGTTCAAAATGTTGATGTCTTGGA